AACAAAAAAACCAGTAAGCAAAATGAAACATTCCATCACCATATGATTCAAGCAGGCTTAGCCTGGTCTGTAGTCCAGGCTACCCCTGAACTTGGAGTCTGAATGCTTCTGCTATCCAGGTAGCTGGACTGCAGGGTTCGTGCTACAAGCCTGGCTTAGGCATGTCTGCCCGGCTCTGCCACACCTGTCTTCCCAGAACTTAAGTGTTCCAGGCCATGTCCTTCTCTGATTTGGGGCCTTGAGTGGTCTTAGCTGTCACAGTGGTACAGAAAGAAAGTGATATGCCTATGTTTCCTGGTGACTATCTTTCTGCTTCCTTGTCTTCCTACGGTCTCCACCCTGGCCCCAGCCCTACCATCTTACTGCCTTCCCGCTCAAAGTATCAGGATGGACAGTGAATGTGTTTTTAAAGACAACTCCCATGGGTGCCCAGCTGTCTGAGCGTAAGCTGTAGCTACTACCACTGTGGGTTGAACACTGATCAAAACTGATAATAAAGTTAATTGTTACCCAGTCCCTGGTTGTGACCTGTCCCAGCGTATGAGTGAAACTACCTCTCTGCTCTTGACAGAATACCTTTGTGTGAGACCTCACGGGGCAGGGCTTGGGGGGAGGGGGTTTTGCCCAGGAAAGTGTTCACCATGGAGCAGGGCCGGGTACCCTTTCCCTTTATAATCCAGAGATGCACTGTCAATTAAGCAATTGTGACTGAGGTAGAGAGGCCCTGTGGTGGGAGTCTGAGCTACTGCTTTCAAAGGCTTTCCACACTAGGGACCTGGGCACTGGGAATGAACCCAAGACAGAAAATGGCTTCCCAACAAAATCAAGCACCTATACACACATGCACAGGTGGTAGGGACCTCCCCAGGGGATGTAAGGGAGACTCCGAAGGGGGAGCTGCCTTACAGCCCAGCCCCCTGCTGATGGATGGGCACTCAGAGGCCTGCCTGCCTGCCTGGCCTATGAGAGAGCAGGAGACTTGGTGATTTCCTTTGCGTCAAGCCTCTCCTGTAGCCTGTCTGTACACACAGGGCCTTTTCAGTGCCCTGGGCTTGTCTCCTCTCTGCAGCAGGCGGCTGGTGAGCGGCTGAGAACTACTGGGTCTTCACTCTTTCCCTCGAAGTCAGTGAAGGTTCCGGAGCTCCGGAACGGGCTCCTTTATGAGTGTGAAGCCAAATGGCCTCTCAGGTTCTTCCAGAGGCCTCGGGGATGTAGCTTGAGGGTTTTAACCTTCCCCTGTCATTAAGCCAATTTCCCTTTTGAGGAAACCCATTCATGTAAGCCGAAGCCTAGTTAGTACTGCCCTCCAGAGCCCACTGGCCCCGGAAGTCCTCAGCCGAGACAAAGAATGTTGTTTAGTTACTCTAGATTGGGCTGGGGGTAGGGCACAGCTCCGTTTCCTCCAGCAATTAGAGCATCGGGGAGAATTTCTCATATCCTTCCTAGCCTAGGGAGGCGGAGGGGGTGGGGACTGCCGGACCTGTTAAGAGTCCCGCTGAGACGGCCACTGCTCCGAGCGGCCCAGCCTCCCCATATCAATGGTTCAGCATTCCAGTCAGTAAATCCAAACTTGCTTAACCCTTTATTGCCCAGGACCCCCAACTGAGGTGAGATAGACTGGGAGGAAGATAAACTAATGGAAATGTAGGGCCACCCAGGAAGTCCTCAGGAAAAGTCAACGGCCCACCAAGTACAGCAAGCAGGCTTTGCAGCCTGGCCTAGCATCTTCCAGGGAACCATGCCCACTGCTTCAGGCTTCTGGAATGTGGGGGTCCTTCCCCACGTTTGCTCTTCCTGAGAAATGAACGGAGTTTTGGTCTCATGTTAGGAAGGAATAGTGGGGCCGGGAGGTGGTGGCACACCTTTAATCCCATCTACGGAGAGAGAGTTCCAGGACCGCTAAAGCTACACAGAGAATGCTTGTCTCGAAAAACCAAAAAAGAAAGAAAGGAACATCAGAACATCGATCGGGAGACCTGCTGCCTGAGGCCCTTGACAGTTAGTCTGACCGAAATTGGTCACTGATGACAGATGTGTCCATGTCTGCAACACAAACTTCCCTTTGGCTGGCGAGTCCCTGGCAGTGTGGCTATCCCGCCCTGCTTCTAGATGGAGCAGAGGAAGCACCCCACATTGTCGTGGCTCCGGAAGAATTGGGGAGCCCTGATTCCTGAGACTGCTCCCTCTCACTGGGTTGTGGGCTGCCACACTCTGGCCTGCCCAGGGGTCTGGAGCTCTCTGAAGAACTGGTGGCCTGCCTGGCAAAGCCTGTCGTAGGTTAACCAACTCTCCTCATCTTGGATGCCGAACTCAGTCTTCAAACTCAAAATATCCAAGGCCAACTAGAGTAAGTTGGCCTCCAACACTCAAAGCCAGAGGACTTTCTCTGTGCTTGGGGAGGACTCTCTAGGATTTGGGCTGTCGATGAGGCTGGAGTTGGCAGCCCCTAGACCCAGGCTCGCCTCAGCCTCAGACACCTAACCAAACCTGCACGACCAGATTCCGGGAGGCCCCTGCAAGGCTTCAGAAGAAGCCTCCGGGAGGGCGGGACACTGTTGACCCTACTTTTTACAGCCACTCCCTTTGAAATCCATGCCCCAGGAGGCAGATATGCTGGACAAATCTGACCACCACCCCGAAGGCTGGAATCTGACCGCTGCTCTGAAGAGCCTCCTAGTCCTGACTCAGACACTGCAGAAGAGAGATCTCCACTGGCCCTCAGTGTGTAAAAAATGCCCTTGCTAACAAGCCTGGCATTCTGGGTTTGATTTCTGTTGCCGTGGAAGGAGAGCACCCCCAAGTACTGCAATTTGTCCTCTGATGCCCTCACACATGAAGTGACACCTGCATGCCACATACACACACCACACACAAGTAAGTAAAATGTAGTAATTGGGTGTTGGCTTAGAGGCTGGGAAGATGGCTCAGCAGTTCCGGCTGTCCACGGCTCTTCCAGAGAGCAGGAATGTGACTGGCTCACAACCGCCTATAACTCCAGTTCAGGAGGATCTGATCCCTCTGACCTCTGCAGGCACCGGACTCATGCGCGCATACACGTGTTCCTCTCCTAAAACTAAGAAAAAAAAATTAAATAATGTATTAACTTAAAACAAAGAAAGGAGGCTGGGCTTGGTGGTGCCGGCCTTTACCGGGGAGGCAGAGGCAGGTGGATTTCTGCGAGTTTGAGGCCAGCCTGGTCTACAAAGTGAGGTTCTCAAACTTTTGGGGTCATGGAGCCCTTTGTAATTTGATGATACCAAATTTCTTTTCAAAAATTGTTAAAACCTATACCTAGAAGCGACGAGCACACCATATTCCTGGGTTTCAATACCCAACTTCACGAATACACAGCATCGAGACAGCCCAGATGTCAAAATGCGCTGTGAAGAGTCACTTCTTGCATTTTATCTCCATGTCCCAGATAATGGAAAGAGAACTGACTCTAGCAGGTCATCCTCGGATGGACACACAGACACACAGATAAACACACACACACACACACACACACACACACACACACACACACACA